GGCCCGTTCTGATTTCAGAACGGCCCGTTCTGCTTCACTGGTGGTGTTTTGATTTTGCAACCAGAACGGCCCGTTCGGGTTTCAGAACGGCCCGTTCTGGGTCCAGATGTTTTAAAAAATAATCTCATCCACGTGGATGCCACGTATGCATCTACGTGGCGTCCACGTGGCCAAAAGTTAACACCGTTAAAGCAATTTGAACGGGAAGTCCCACATTGAAACCAATTAATTAATTTAGGACTAAATTGAAACCAATTAATTAATTTAGGACCAAATTGAGACCAAAAATTAATGAGACTAAATTGAAACAAAAAAAAATTATAAGGGGCCAAAATAAGGTTTTAACCTAAAATTATTCATAATTTTCTCTTTTTTTTTTCTAACATTTACAACAACCTCCCTTCCGGTGAGATCAATTGTATAATATTTTTGAAATAAGTAAAGAGATTGATGTAGAATTTAATAATACTAATATAATATTTTTTAAAAATAATTATTAACATTGGTGTGGTGTGAGAGTAAAAAGTCAATCTCGCAAATTTTTAGGACTGATAGTCTGATAGTATAATTTAATTACTCTAATCTCACAAGAATAGTATATTATTTTTTGGATTCGATTAGATAAATTTTCACAATAGAAAATATTAAAATTGAACCACGTACGGTAGATAAGAGGTGGCCTTAGCCTTAGGAGTCGACAACACAAGCAAGCAAACAATAGAACAACTTGAAAAAGCAGTCAACATCTTTGTCGTAAATGAGGTATAATAAAAGGATAAAAGAAAAATATCACATCTCACATTCACATGCAGTGGACGTGGCTGTGGCTCACTTCCAAGTTTTAAATTTAACCATCGACACCTTTGTGATGAATGAAAATCATTCTTTTCGCTTAATGCACAAAGAAGAAGGAAGAAAGACATGCATGCATGAAAAACCATCAGCAAAAGTAGAAAGTAAACCAGATTAAAAAATAAAAGGAGTCTCTGCTTCCTTTATCTCTTTCCACGTTTGTTTTCCACTCATTCAAAGTTTTCACACCCCGCTAAGGAAGCTAAACATCACTTCCCTTTATATATTTGCCTCTTACATTGATACTTAGCAATTAGCATAGCTAGATTAATATTACTTAAACACGTACAACCCTTCGATCTTAAGTATACTAATGCTAATTAACCATGGCAACACCAGCAATGTCTTCAATTGTGCAGCAACAAGCTGATCCAGAAGCTGTTCCAATTACAAGCACTACTAGTGCATGGAAATCCTCAGGTTCTGTTGGTCCGTTCTTTGCTGTGATGTGCGTGCTTATAATTCTGGCTGTTCTTTCGTGCTATTTGGGTCGCAAGTGGAATCCAAGGCCCAAAACCCCATTGGAGAGTATCAGAGGAAGAGGCTTTCTTGGGTGGCTAAAGCGTGTGTTTAGGGAACGTATTGCCAAAGATGTTGAAGTTGGAGGCGTTGGGGCCAAGGTTATGGTTTGTGACCATGAGGATGGTGATCATTGTAAGGTCCAAGATGGTGAGGTTGCTCAAGTTTGATGATATGTTGCTAGTTGTCAGTATATTTTTAAGATATTTGTTTGAATCAATGAGGATTTTTTTTGTGGGAAATGATAATATTATTAACATGCATTTGGGAGTTTAGTTTGAAAAACATTGCTAGCTGTTAGATGGAGGTATTTATTTAACTTAGATAACTTATAACTCCAATATTGGATCCGTGTGCTTCTTTTATTGAAGAATATTTAATAAATTAAAGCAAGAAGGTCTAATTCATTTAGATGAACACAATAATGTTTAGTTGAGTCACTATGTAGATTATGTTCATAGATAAAAATAAATGAAATTGAGAATAGTAATTTTTGACCAATATGTGATATGTATATATATTGATTTGGGTGACATGGTGTACCTTCCAACAATAATGAACGTATGTGTCTTTCTTTAATTTCAATGAGTGATCGGTTTCTATTACTTTCTAAAAACCGAGTATGAAGATAAAGCCACCTCAACATAGCTGTAGACATGATCAGCTGGTAGCGAGGGAGCATCACATGGATGATGAATGATTGAGGATGTGTCATGAGCCGTGTCACTTCCATTTAATATATAGTATAGGTATTTAGTATTCATTCTTTGATGAAACTTGAAACGAAACAAAAATATTAACATTTTAACAGGAACGTACGTAGCACACTTTTTTTATCGGATTGGTAACAATTCCATCTGCGACATAAACGTTACTGTTATTTTCTTATTTATTAATTAGAAGTTTAGAACCATCTTTTCTTCCCAGTATATATATACTGGCTAAGAAGAGAGGAACCACACTTAGACTGATTTGGTATAGTGGTGGGCGCATTTTAACCTTGCTATATATCATTGCACACAAAACAAATAGTTAAAAAAGTGAGCCCAACACTACAACGTAAGCTGGAAAAGTGAAAACAAATAGTCAAAAAAGCCAATTCTAATAATAGAGCAGGATTGTCCCAAGTAAAAATGAGGTTAAACAATTCTACCTTAAATCATTAGTGCTGTAATTAATACGCGTGCAACCAGCTATTTAGAAGTACATATAAGAGAATTGTATCAATAAATAAACATCTAGTTTGGTGTCTAGATTTGGTGCACACTGTCATATATATGTTAGACTCTATATTAAATATGTTTCTTAAAAGTAACAACAAATAGTTCAATTTAAAAATTTATTTAATAATTTTTTAGTTTCAGAAACTAATTAATATAAAAAAAAAATTTCTAAATTCAAAAAGTGATTACTCGATCTACTACCTAACCCTATTTTTTATTTGAATCTAGACGATAATTAATTTTTATATATACATTTGCGCAACAACTCTACCTCTCTTTTTACATAATTTTTTCCCTCCCTTCCTTTTCCTGTAATATCACCACTTACCATTTTTTATTTTTTTTAATATCCTGCCTAGTGTATACAACTATGTATAAAGTATATCATGATCATTTTTGACAATTTTAATAAAGTTGACATATCACATTCATCCTCCTCCAGTTTTGGTTACAGCTCATCACACACATTTAGAGTTCTCATTAGATCACACGACGGTGGAAATGTCCTACAATACATAAATTGTCAAAGCCTACTTTTTTATTTCCTTTTCTTGTCTGCGCACTTTTACATAATATGACACATAATAGATCGATCATTTCCAAAATACATACATGATCAAAAAAGCATTAAGATTACAATGATACCAATTATATATCGTCAAAATTAAACTGGTATACTTAGAATAATCTGATGAATTGCGACAGCAATTCATGTTTACACGTAGGAAGAACCATATATTTAATAGAAAATCTCGTGTTTGATATCTACATGTAAAAATCTTTCGGATCAATGATAAATACAGGATCATAAATAAAATTAGTCTTTCACATAATGACACAAGAATAACCATGACAAGAAAAGAAAAAGAAAAGTAGAGTACTGAGAATTATGGAGGCAAAAAGAATCTAAGACGACAGTGCCTGTGAGTTTCCTAGAAGACGCACATGAAAAGCTTAGTGAGCAGTGACCTCATACATTATTATTGTATATAATGAATCTTACTATTATATACGTGAACCACCAACGCGCTTTCTGTTCCACAGCATCCTATGATACTAAAATAAGCCACATCTCTTCTCTTCTCAACATTATATCCGTTCCCTTCCTTTTTTCTCTTTTGTATTTTGTCACTCATATATCATATTAACAACTTAACATGCTTCAAGTAGAGCAAATTAATCAACTAAGGGAGATATTCGGTCGATTCGACATGGACTCAGATGGGAGCCTAACCATGTTGGAGCTAGCAGCACTTCTGAGGTCACTGGGCCTGAAGCCCTCGGGTGAGCAAGTCCAGGCCCTCTTAGCCAACATGGACTCAAATGGAAATGGAAAAGTTGAGTTTGATGAGTTGGCGAGGGCCATATTACCCGACATAAATGCACAGGTGTTGGTGAACCAAGAAGAGCTTCTAAGGGTGTTCAAGTGCTTTGATCGTGATGGGAATGGTTTTATATCTGCTGCAGAGTTGGCTGGGGCCATGGCCAAAATGGGTCAGCCTCTTACGTATCGAGAGCTCACGGAGATGATCAAAGAGGCTGACACAGATGGTGATGGTGTCATTAGCTTCAATGAGTTTGCCACCATCATGGCTCGCTCTGCTTCTCATTTCTTAGGCCTCGCATAAAATCATATTCATTTCGTCTAACTTTTACTAGCTTATTCAACTTTTCCTCCTTTTTTCTTTGTTGGATACCTTGTGCATAAGAATTTTGTCATATGTAGCTCGTTTCTTTTAAATTATTGAATCAAATAAGGATATTTGGTTTCTACTCTGTGCTGCAATGTGTGATCACTGCTCTTGTTTTCTGTTTCCCATGAAGATTTGGCTCTCCCAATTGAGGTAACCACTTCAGAGAGATCTAAATTTGCACTTTACAATATTCACTAATAAAAAACATCGTTAGTGTATAATTTTTCTTTGAATATGTTATTTATATAAAGTGGGAATAAAATTCAAAACTTGTTGGCATTGAATTCTATCGTACAGATGATGAATCCGTGTTACCCGTTCCTGATTAGAAATTTAAAATTAGTAGACCCACTTTCTAGAAAAGAATAAGAAGTCAAACTCTCAAATATGAGTGCTTTATCAAATGATGAGTATCGTACACCGTGCTTATTAGATTAGAATAACTATTCTCAACCAGAACAGAATAATGTTTTTATGTATCATTAAGGACAATGTTTTTGGAGACTTTTTTTAATAGAATTTTTTTTTAGTTATTTTTCTTAATAGTATTTTTGAAGAAAAAAAAAATCAATTTCTTATCTCTTTTAATTTATCATTCTCATATTTATTTCTAAAATAAATTTAATATTTAAAAAAATATCAATAACTAAAAATGATTTTATATCATAATATAAATTATTTATTTATAAAATTAAAATATAATTTATATGGTCAAAATACTTATTTATTACAAATTTTAATTATAATGTATTTCTATACAAAAATATTTATTTATTGTAATTTATGTTATATAAAATAACAATTTATCCTACGAGATAAAATATCCATTATCAATTATTTACATGCATATTCAAATAAAACATTTAAAAAATTAATAACTATACACTATTAGTATAAAAAATTTACATTACTAACCGATCCAAAATTACCTTTTTTTTTGGTAAAGCTCCAAAAATACAAGTTATGTAACTTTAAAATATTAATTATAAAAGTTAACAAATATCGTAAATAAATTGTGTTTTCATGACCAAGAAAGAAAAAAAAAATAACGCATTAAGAAAAATGGTTTTAATTGAGAAATAAGACTTGCAAAGAGGGAAAAAAAAAACCTATTCAGCAATAGACATGAGTGTCACAACTAAACAGCTTATGTTAAATGTTAGATCTCGATGAGGGTTCATCTTCATCCTCCAGGCTGATGCATGTACGGCTACGCCATTTGTGTAGGTATGTGATTTTAAACTTTTTCCATTATTGTTATAAGACTTTTTCCATTCTGTATAGAATACGTCATACAGTGAATTTGGTATCCGGAGATCTCCGTAACTATGCAATCCTATTGTTTATTATAAAGCCAGAGAATCTGAATCTTTTGGTTTGAGAAATTAAGATTTCGGTAACCCTATTCGGCCAATGGTGGCAGAGCTAAGGTGAAGAATATTAGGAAATTTAGAAGTGGATCCAATAAGGAAAAATATTGATGATTATGAAAGAATGAATGAATTAATGTATTCTTCTATCCTACAGAAATCATATACCTTGGTACAATATTTTTGACTCTTGAAGCAACCCAAATTTTATCATCATCTTCTGAACAAAAAATACCAACGAATAGGTTGCTTTATTTTGCTTTGTTTGGGGATTCTTGTCACGCACGTATGGAAAACGCCCCTTTTCCTTAAATATGTACAAGGTTTGAAACCTAAGAAAAAATTTACACCTCGTTTGAACTAATGAATTTGACATCAAACAACAAAATAATTATGGTTATCGGTCCTCAGAATTCCCTTCAGAACGTTTGGATGCAGCAAAATTGGATAGCTCAATTCTTTTGGATGCTGAAGAATGGACGGATATTTCAAGTCTTTTGGATGCTTCAAGTCGTTTGGACGCTTCCAAACGAGCTGTGGTTCCAACTGTTGTGTGTCTTATTGATCGCTGCCTTACCATATCACAGTATTCTGGATCACTTGTTTGCCCATCTTTTCTTATCCACTGTATCATTTGATGATACATGGGGAAGAAGCGCATTTGGATGGAAGCGTAGACGAAATATGGAAGGAGGGAAGCAATGAGAATGAGCAAAGTGATGAACCAGAAAGATGGGGCTGGTGCAAGAGCTTCAATGAAGACCTTATAGGCAGTGGTTGAGAAGGATGGGTCTATGGCTCCATATGCCAGGAGGAATATATACCAGAATATGATGCTACCCCAGATGAATATATGTTGTATGTAAGTGAAGTAACTGATAGATAATGCCATTTGGCAATTCACCACCCACACAACACAGGTGTACATGGTGGCACCAAGAACTTCCAGCCCCACGACTTGACCGCCTTTTCGGAATGCCTGGTGTTCCATAGTACGGATGCAAAAGAAGAATATGATGGCAGAAGTCACAACTCCATTCAGTGCCCAACCTATGATTCGTTTCCAGCTAAATAGGATGTTTTGGATGCCTTCTTGATATAATAATGGAAACTGAAAAAATGAAACAAAAAGAGAGGTTTCATGAGAAAACACATTCATGTAGTAACATATCAGTATCACTGAGGAAACTGAACTTCTAACTATTTGCCATCATGAAGCTACTGTGTTTGGAGACGTACCCTGAGACAGTGCTTAGAAGACACATCCTGATCAAACACACCCAATGCAATTACAGGAAGTGAAGTGAAGAATACATTGTATAGTGACAAGAACCAGTCGTTGTATGCAGCTTGCCCAGAGAATGAGGCATACAACTCGAAGAAGAAAAGAGTGAAGCCGAAGGCAATATTCTTGTAAAAGAAGTAGCAAATCTGCCAAACAGAAAGTCAAGTTTGTCAAAAACCAAAACAATTTTATTAATCTTAGATGAACTAAGACTTTGCAATAGGTCACATTTATACTGTACGGAAATTAGAGAACCTTATAATATACTATTATGTAATATATGTGAAGACAAGATTGTTACCATTGATGAGATCCTTCTGTAACACCAATGTCCATGCACAAGTAGTAAGCGCTCTAGATACCGAAATTGGGCTATTGCAATATCACTTGACATAACTGCCTGGAAGTTTTAATGAAGCAAAGAAGTAAGAGCCAAAAAAGTAAAAAACCATACAAATTCAGGGTAGGGGTTACAGAAAGGTATGGGGAAAAAAGAATAGAAAGGCTTCAAAGGAATATGCAAGATATCGCATATTTACCTGCATTCCTTCAACACCACTGATACCAATTCCAATGTCTGCTTCTTGGAGCATTCCAACATCATTTGCCCCATCTCCAATAGCTAGAGTTGTACTACCAGTTCTCATCTTTACCAATCTGGTAACCTGCATTATTATATAGAAAATCTTTTAGAGGCTGAGCATGGGAAAACCGAAAACCACCAAGGATGAGACTATGATTTGCCCTTTTTTGATATATTGTTTTGCAGTAAAATTTTCTTTGCCTCGTTGATCATCATAAACTTTAAGAGATTTATTACAAGTAAGATTCCAAGTCCAACCCTAACTATAATACAATAAGACAATCCTGTGCAACCTGAACTTTTATATGAAGAACCAAAGGGAAAGGAGAAAAACAAGAAAAACTTACAAGTGCTTTCTGCTTGGGAGATGAACGACAGCAGATAACAGATGCACAACCAATGGCAAGTTCAAGAAACGAATCCTTTACATCATCTTCTAGTGCATAAGTAAGAGACTTCCCATCAATGATCAGGGCTAAAGCCTCAAAGTTTTCGTCTGATGTAGTAAGCAATGTCTTTGCCTCCCTTAGTTGACGAATAACACTTGACTTAATTGCCTGAAAAATGAGTAAGGTTCCATCAAAATTAATACAACATGCAATTGCAATCTAGTTGACAAGTGTGGTTTATGTGGCTATAACAATATTCAGTTTTGCAAGTTCCTTTCTCATGCATTCTAATTCAATTCTTATATGTTGTACACGGATCTCCTTGTTGTACATGTGTAAAATAACAAGCTAAAGAGCATACAATCATCTCGTGACAATGGTCACCACTGCCTGTTGACAGAAATTAAATATCAGGGTAGTGTAGTTTACCACTTCAGCAGCAGACTTGTCCTCCATTTTCTCCAATGATTTTGTTTCTGGAGTATCTGAGCTAATTATAATTTGTTTCATTCCTTGTCTGAGTAAACTACAAGCAAATCTGCAGTCACAGATAGATTTCTAAATCAGTGACATCATATCATTTCCACATACAAATCCAATTTTTTTGGATATTCTTTGCACGTACCCAATATTAATTGCTGTCTCCATTTTATCACCAGTTAAAACCCATAGCTTAATCCCAGCCTGTGCTAGTTTGTCAATACATTCAGGAACCTGTGCAACATAAACCGATTCATAAGGACACCACATATATAACAAAGTTATTATAATAGAATAGGACAAGGATAATTTCAAAAAATAATGACTTGAAAAAGAGTGAAAAGGTACTAGCTTTGATAATTATTAAGTAATTTCAATTATGTGATCAGAAAATTGCAGTTTGAACACTCCGGCATAAAAAGAGAGCAAGCCCTTTCTTCCCTCTACTTTCAGAAAGTAAAACAGTTTTTAGAACATACCCCGTCTTGTAGTTTGTCTTCAACTGCAGTAGCACCAAGAAGAATTAAATCTTTCTCAATACTTTGTATTATTCTCTCAACAATCTGCTCCTGGTCTGCACTCACCAAGTTCTTGGCCTCTGTAAACTCTTTATTAAACTGATTGTACTCTTCCTCGTTGAGTTCACGATATGCAAGTATCAAGGTCCTCAAACCAGAATCAGCATATTCACTAATGTGCTGTTTTGTGTACTCTTCAAATTCCCTTCCATTCTTTGCAATTCTTTCAAACATTACACTGATTGAGAAAGGGAGAAAAAACAAGCAGTTTAATATTATGAACTTTTGAAACAAATTGAATAATGCTCACATAGTCTATTCAGGATAGCCAAGCATGAGATTACACACCTGTCAGCACCTTTGCTAAGTAGTAGTAATTTACCCTCCTCATCTCTTACAATCACAGACATCCGCTTTCTTGCACTACTGAACTCTAATATATTCAAAAGTTTGTAGGATCTGCAGCAGCAAATTATATGCAGTTTTTAATACATAACTCAAGTTTCAATTGTGTGTGTGTGTGTGATATATATATATATATATATTATATATAAGATATTATATATATAAGATATTATATAATTAAACCTTCACATACAAGAACAATAACCTGACCTTTCAATTTTGTTGCCAGACATGGGGTCTAATTCACGCAATGAAATAGTTGTATGTGTCCTTTCATAAAATTCAAATCCGAGTTCCCTGGCTGCAATCACAAAAGCTGCCTCATCCGGTGATTCAGCTTCATATGAAACCTTACCAGTTTCTTCATCAATTTCAGGTATTGCAGTATGGCATACAGCCAGCAACCGTAAGAAGTTCTGGATTACATTGGCATTGGGTTCTTTGGCCCAATTTCCATTCATGATCCTTTCATCCTTAAAGTTAAACCCTTTAATGGATGGCTTTGATTCACTAATTCTTTCTTTAAACTCTTGACTAAAAGGTGTTTCCTGTCTCCTAGATAGAGCTCTCTCAACTTCTGTAGCTCCTCGTCCATAAGCAACCCCAGCAATAGAACACTTGATAAATTCCATAGAGTTGCAAGTCAAAGTTCCAGTCTTATCTGAAAGTATGGTATCAACTTGGCCAAGTTCTTCATTCAAATTTGATGTACGAGCATGTGCTGGCTTGTCAGTTTCCGCATAATACATGTGCACATCCTGGTTGATGAAAATGCTTTGCAGAACCTTTACAATTTCTATGGATACATACAAGGAAATTGGAATCAAGTAACCATACAACATAAGTGCTGTCAAGAAATGCAGAATTGCCGCAACTACTGGGCTATTTGGATCATAGTAAATTTCGGTATTATCTGGCCTAAGGTACCATCTCTTCATTCTTCCATTTTCAAGGTCATCATCTGTCATAAGCCCAAAGAATATGGACCCAATGAAAGAAATCAAAATAAGTACAACGAACAGGCAGTAGATAATCTTATCCATCCTTTTCTCAATTTTGCTTCTCTTGGATGGAGGATCTGTTGCATTCTGCATAACCTTTGTATCATGTCCGGTAAAGATTACCACTCCATAAATAAAATCTGTGTTCCTCAGCTTAGAATCCCTAAGCAGTAGCTGCTGAGGTGCAAGAGGATATTGCTGATCCTCAAGATCCAGACTACCAACAAATGTGTACAAATTTGCATTTGGATCTTCACATGTGATGACAGCCCTGAAATTTTGATAGTTCGAGTCTTCTTGCAACATTGAACTTCCTTCCAGTGCTTGTTTCAGTTTCAGATTTGTCTCTCCATCAAGATTCATGGTCTCAACATAGCAAATTGCATCATCATAGTTTGATGCAAGTAAGATGAGATCAGCAGGAAAAAATTCATCTTTTTCCACCCTCACTACATCGCCAACTTTCAAATCCCTCCATTTAGAAATGTCAAAAACACCATCTCCACGATGCACTTTAACTTTTCTGTTATTCATCTCTATATCCTGATGAAATTACAAAACAATATCATCAACCAAGGATTAATCAAGAGGAACAGAAAACATAACCTCCTTGCTTTTTATGAAAGAAAAAAGTTTACTAATTACCAACAGAACACAAGCCTATTAGCACAACCTTGCACATGCTAAGAAGAAAAAAGGTATCTGACCAATATGCACGTTAATCTTGACATAATTCAAGGCACGAATTTAGCACAGAGACCACTCCAACTCTCAATCTCATCATAAATTTCCCAACCAATTAATAAAGATTATATTCAATACATCTGCAAAGCAATCAATGGATCAATAGCCACATGTTCTAGCCTAGTGATAATGCAAAGAACATTCCAAAATTTCTAGCAAACATGCCTATCATCCATAAGGACCATAACTAACTATCTATCAGATATACAATTAGAGAAAAGAACACCATCAGTCAGAAATTTGCAGCAGTAACTGACATAACAATTAGAGAAAATTACCTGTTGTTTCCTCCTAAAATCCTCAATGAACTCTTTGACCATCGTGGCAGCAACCACAACCAGTAGAGGAACAACATTACTGACGCCTGAGTAAGGAGAGACCGGAAAGAAAGACAAAACTGCACAAACGAGGAAGTAGAAATTGGCAACCCTCCTGAATTGCTCAAACAAGGACTTGGGGATGAACGTGGCCAATGTGTACTTAGTTGTTCTGACATAATTGTCTCCATAACTGAGAAGACTCTCCATGGCACGTTCAGGGTCATTGCAATAGACTTTCCTTGAGAAGCCAGGGCCTCCTATTAGTGAATGCTCCTCTCTCATGGAAGCTCTCCCACATGTGAATGCATGAATTCTGCTGAAGTGGTGCCTCCTCCTTCTCCCTCCAGCCATTTCTTCAACTAAGTCAAAAGCTCAAAACTTGTGTGATTCACCCTTCAAGATCGAAACCAAGCTCCAAGGACTCAATGATCCTCAAAATCCAAGGTTGGAAGAAAGAGATGTGATGTTGACAGAAACAAAAAGCAAAATCTGTGTTTTTTATACGTATCTGTACAAATATGATAAACCCAGAAATGAAAAAAACAAAGGTTCCCTTGTGAGAGCTGAAAGGTATAACTTTGGAATGAAAGTGAAGAGATAGAAGGCAACCTAATATGAGTTTGATTGGGGTGGAAGCTGAAATCTGACTGCCATCCCAGTTTGACTCGTCGTGGCTAACAAGGATAGACTTTTCAACGTGCACATGGGAATGGATCTTTCTCTTTCTTTTTCTTCCACCAAACTCGGTTTTAAGACTCTCGACTAATATAACAAAAACAAAATAGTAATGCTTTGTTTTTTTTTTCTTCTGGGACAAATCAATTGCGCTGTGAAACGAGGGAAATTGAATAAGACAAGAAATGTCGTAACAAATGACTATTCGTATGCGAGTGCCAATTCAACGTTTCGGATTGATTAAGTTTGTATTACAAAAATTAGGCAAAAGTATTTTTGGCAAAATAATAATAAATAATTAAATAAAGAGTAATTACTTTGTTGACAATAATAGTGAATATGTAAGCGCTGAATATGCATATTTATTAAAGTCAAGCTAGATGCCAACCGTGAAATAAAATATGTGCGCCCAATGCTACATTTACAAATCGAGCCTTCTAGAAGTTTTTATTTAGAAAATAAAACTAGGCCTAGTTCTGTAGATTTTAAATTAATTAATCACTAACAATCCCTTAAATAATTAATTTTTTTCTATCTCTCCTTTTTTTAGAACCTATCTCCTCATTATTAACAACTAATAAGCAAACAAATAACATGATGGAGAGATTAAATTTTTTTTGATATTGTACAAATTTATCGTACATGTATCGTTTTTTATAATTAATTAACAAAATAAAATTAATTGTATTTATTTTAATTTTTCTTATGCATAAAGATAATTAATTTGATAATTATAGTAAGATTTTATTATGAATTTCTTACTATATTTTTCATAAGACTCTCTTATCTTTTCCTTTTTCATTTCATATGTATAATAGAACTAATATTTTAGTAGATATCATTTATGCCAAATTTTTATTTTGAATAATTGAAATTTATTATAAGAAAATATTTTAAATATATAAATTATATTTTAATTAAAATTTAATATATATATATATC